CGGTTTGGAGTTCGCGGATAGAGTAAGCCAATGGCTAAGATCAAGGTGTCGGCCTGTGCGTGTGTTCGAGAACTAGTCCACACTCCCGCTACTGTGAAGTCCAACTATTACCCCGGCACAATAATTTCAGATCACTGACCATTGTAATTCGTCGTGTAGTAATACTTAATTACTGCACGCTTATCACTGCTGCTTAATCGGATTGCATTTATAAATGGTGCTTTTCGATATGGGACGTTATGTAGGTACCAATTTTAAAAGTTGACTCAACAATTTATGTACAGTTATTTAGTCCAGCCATTCCCTCCACAAAATCTTCCTCAATCCTATCACAAATCTTGACTCTTCTGCTTTCCTCATACCTTCTCCCCTTATCATTTCCCTGCTTTTGTTCTTTGCCAATTTCCCTGTGCTGATGCCTTCTCTAAATCACTCCTTCACCATCTCTTAATTGATTTTTAATATCGTCTCTATTTCCAATACCTTCTTTCTCTATATTTCCTTCTTGATATCCTCTTCTTCCAGCCTCCTCAATATCTCTCTCTTGCTATCGCTTTTGTTGCTTTTTCTCACATTGTTCCACATTCAGCCTCCCTTCTTAGTACATCCCCATACACTCACTTCCTGTCTTAAATTTTGCAGCACATTTATTTCCCTGTCTCGTTCTAAATAAGTTAGCACTCAATCCCCTTGCCAGTCTTTCCAAAAAATCTTATCTTAAATTCTCTCCATTATCATCTCCCTATATCTATTACCTGCTGCATCAATTGCTCTATACTGATCCCTTCCCTAAATCACTCCTTCACTTGATCCTGATTGATTTTTTGTATATTCAAAATCCTCTCCCTTTCTGTACCATATCTACTATTCGTCCATATTTCCAGTACCTTCTTTCTCTGTATTTCCTTCTTGATATCCTCTTCTTCCAGCCTCCTCAATATCTCTCTCTTGCTATCGCTTTTGTTGCTTCTTCTCACATTGTTCCACATTCAGCCTCCCTGCTTAGTACAACCCCATACACTCACTTCCTGTCTTAAATTTTACTACATATATTTTCCCTCCTTCGTTGTAAATATTTTAGTACCCAATACACTTGCCAGTCCCTCACAAAGTTTCTGTCACTCCACCACATATCTTGACTCCTGTATTTATCTTAGATCTTCTCTGTTATCATCTCCCTGCATGTATTACCTGTTGCATCAATTGCCCTATACTGATCCCTTCCCTAAACCACTCCTTCACCAGATCCTGGTTGATTTTTTGTATATTCAAAATCATCTCCCTTTCTGTACCACCTCTACTTTTCGGCCATATTTCCAGTACCTTCTTTCTCTGTATTTCCTTCTTGATATCCTCTTCTTCCAGCCTCCTCAATATCTCTCTCTTGCTATCGCTTTTGTTGCTTCTTCTCACATTGTTCCACATTCAGCCTCCCTGCTTAGTACAACCCCATACACTCACTTCCTGTCTTAAATTTTACTACATATATTTTCCCTCCTTCGTTGTAAATATTTTAGTACCCAATACACTTGCCAGTCCCTCACAAAGTTTCTGTCACTTCACCACATATCTTGACTCTTGTATTTATCTTAGATCTTCTCTGTTATCATCTTCCTGCATCTATCACCTCCTGCATCAATTGCCCTATACTGATCCCTTCCCTAAACCACGGCTTCATCTGATCCTAATTGATTTTTAGTATCTTCAAAATCCTCTCCATCTCTCTGTCACATTTACTTTTCATCTCTATTTCCAATATCTTCTTCCTTCATGTTTCCTTCCTGGTATCCACTTCTTCCAGCCTCCTCAATCTCTCCTCACATCTTACTATCGCTTTTATTGCTTCTTCTCATATTGTTCCACATTCAGTCTTCTTTCTTAGTACATCTCCTACACTCACTCCCTGTTTTAAATTTTACTGTACATTTATTTCCCTTCCTCGTTCTAAATACCTTAGCACCCAATCCCCTCGTTTCCTCACAAAATCTCAGTCAGACCCATCTCAAATCTTGACTCCTGTTTATCTCTGATCTTCTTCCTTCTCATCTCCCTGCATCTGTTCCCCTTCACTGATCTCTTCCTTAAATCATTCCCTAATTTGCTCCTGACCTATTTTTAATTTCTTACAAGCCTTCTTCTTCTTCAAATTTTATCAACTTTTCGTCCCTATTTCCAATATTTTCTTCCTCTACATTCCTTCTTGATATCCCCTTCTTCCCACCTCTACTCATATTTTCTCCTTTTCTTAAATAATCTGGCGCACTTCTCTCTAATTGAAATTCCCCCTTAATGTATCTTTTGTATAAAACCTCTACCAGCTTCTTTTCCTTCCATTCTCATATTTGAACCCTATAAAGCACTGTACTTCTCGCCATCACATTGAATAACTTCAGTCTCCTACCCCAATCACCTTTACATAATTCATGAACAAGACCAAGTATAGAATAATTCGATGTGGTCTGTATTCCAAGACCAAGTATGTTAGAGACTTTTTTGAAATACTTTTCATCAATGTATTTAGAAGGGAGGCTAGTGAACTGATACAACTGATCCAATTGAAGGGGTAAAATCAAAATACGGTAAACATTATCTCCTACTAGTTCTGCTTTAGGAGAAATTAAAATAATAAACTTTTTCTTTTGTTTGGATGTTGTACGAAGTCATTTTTTTATTTTATTGTTTTAATTGTTTCCAAAGAGGAAACGGATGACTTAAAAAAAAAATGTTTTTGAGAAAATTTTCACCACAAATTTTATGCGGCAATGTAGATAGATACTTATCTAGAGACCGTAACATATCCTGCGTCCTGCGACACAAGCGACATAAACATATGCATACTTACATATATTATATATAAAATAATGTTAACTGTTTTAAGTCAATGAAACAGCATATAACGGTTCAATTTTTTATTAATAATAATCTATGTATATATGCGCCGTTCTCATTCTCAGATACCTTCAAAGGTTACGTTACATACATACACACACACATACATACATACACAAACATAAATATGTTCATAAACGATTAAAGAAATTATTACGATAAAAATATCTAAAAATCTCAAAAATGAGTAATTCTATTCTAAAAAACTTTTTAGTCGACGAGAGATGGAGTAGATATACATATAAGTCTCGAACACTTATATTATTAATTTTTTATGAATTCGTCTCCATTTTTAACATATCCAAACAACATGGCGTCCTTTAATAATAACGTACTTACGTATAGTAATATCGGACTTATTTGTTACGGGTGAAACTACACGATGCCATCGTCTTGTTGCTGAACTTAATATCGTTTAATGAACTATAACATACATGCCTACATGTTCTACCACATCTTGTCTGCTCGATACCTCATATAATAGTAATATTACTTGGAATACCTCTCGCGTTTATTTGTAAGGAATTCGGTTTTTGCATAAATGAAAAGTTTTACGGAGAATACTCCTCCTATATCAGATTTGTATATTAACAAGAAGCTGAACGGTTAATAAGGGGCTTAAAAAGGAAAAGAAACGAAACACGGATCACAAAAGACGGGAGGGGGTTCCTGGGGCGCATACCAACAAACCCCCTCGCTCCCCACACCGTAAAAATTAAAGAGCGACGTTAATAAAGTAGTCAAACGTAAAGGACTTAAGTTAATCTTATAGATGCTTGGTTATATACGTAATTACATACTACTAGTTGAAATAGAAGATATATATTATGGTTAGGTTGGGTTACATTAGTTTTTTTTTTCATTTTCGATAAATGCGAATGTAGATTCAAGCTAGGAAGAAGTGGGGGTGCGTGTCCAAGGTCTTCATGTTGAAGATCTTAAAATAATGATGAGATTTAGACTTTTTAGTTCCACTGAAATAAATGCGGAAGTTCCGCGTTTGCAAATGCGAATAGTCGCAACATCTCTACCAGGGAGGTCCTCAAAGCCATAAAAGTTGACCTATTAGATCGCAATTTGTTTACTTTAACTTTAACATTTTTCATAGAAGACGTCAAATCACTGTACCGTGTAAATTTTTGTGTCTTCCTGAAAAGGAATTGTTTTAAGTAGGTATTTTAATTATCATTAGAAACCGGCTTTCTTTATAAATGAACTAATTAACGCAATCCGCATCGTTATTGGTTAATAAATCGTACCAATATTAAATTATGTACATATAGCGAGCAGAGAGCAAGCTATGCTGGTCATTTTGTTTTCTATTCGTTTATATACTTACCAGAAAGTTGCCATATTACCTAGATGTGTACGTGTAGCAGTTAGTTATTATAGGCTATAGGTATCGTTCGTTGTTGGACAGCCGCGGACCCGACCGCGGAAACACGAAATAAGAGTAAAGCAAGTAAGCAGCTAGAAACTTGTAACCAGTCCCTATTTTTATTAGCCTTTGAAGAGCAGTAATTATTAAGGCTTCGAGCTCTTCACGGTTGATCTAGCAGCAGGCAGCTCGGCAGGACATAATGTTATCTTCTTGGACATTTTACCTCAAGTCCGACTGCGCGCTTAAAACACGACAACGTATTAGATACATGCATATTGTATACAGTTTAAAAATATGTTTGTATTATATATGTATTTATAAAGACAGACGTGCAGCATTGCCCGTATTCTCAATAGAAATATTATATTAGGTACTAGGTGACCTTTGTACATGCGCCGCAGTGATGCCGCAATACAAAAATATAAACGTGTAAATGGCCGAAAGGTATCGACGGTCGGCTAGCATGCCGCGGGTTTCGAGCTCTGGCCTGTACCTATACTACGCTTTTTTCTTTTTCAAACTTAATTTATCAACAGAAGTTAGTTTCTTATCTAACAATTGATACTTTATTACCATCTCCTGCATTGTCGTTGTTAGTTTCATCAATGATAATTTCCATCTCCCTCCTAGTTGCTTACACAACCCCATAAAACGGTAAACAAAACACACAATTTATTTCAAATATACCATTTACATACATATGTACATGTTAACATCTTATATTACAATAAATCACAACAATATAATAACAAACAATAATATTATCAATAAATACATTATAATTATTTGAAACATTCTAAAATATTCAAAGGACTGTGTTGAATTTTTTCTCGCTTTTTTGGGACTTGTTTGTTGGCTTTGCCCAAGAAGTCCCAAATGCATAAATCTTCGTCTACCCCTGCCGTTCCTAAAACGAACATAAACAGAATATATTACTGACAGGCACGTTGATGTATTTTACAAATTTGATAATAATAAAAACCGCATCTATAAATATAAATAAATAACTGCAATAAGCAACGTGATAGCGTGCTCTAACTGATGCTGACGTGTGACGTAATAAATGAAGTATCGCATGCGCAGTAACATTTGCCCGACTCCACTCTTCTGTTTCACCAACACCTAGCGCAGACTCAGTTCAATCACTTATCGCAGCGCAAGTAATCACTACTTAAAAGAAATTCAAAAGGTAGAGTAAGAAAAGACGTCATGTAGAAGTAGTATTTACGATTAATAACAAATTGAACCAATGTTCGTTCTTAAAAAGTAAAATATTGTGTTGATATGAATAATGCATCAATTAGAGAATTTTATCTTGTTGGGCTAACCATTTTTACATTCTTACTATCCTAATCAATTACAGTCAAACTGTTCTTAATCATTAGGTCGAAAAACCTATTATTGATCTCTTTTTTTCTGCATATTGAGTAGAACACACTTTATTTAATGTGTGTTAAAGAGGAAATGCATGTATACAATTTTCTAATAAAAATAACTATCAGAACTGGTCTGTGCAATGTAACATGAAAATTGTACACAGCTAACTTTATAATGAGTGTCTTGTATTGCTCAAATCGAGTAAAATATAAAATGCTCCAATTAAATATTCATGCTGGACAAGAAACAGTTCGGATTGTGTGTTTTAAGCAGATAGTTAACTGTTATTTTACACATATATTACCTAGTTCTTGAGTGTTCTTGTTCCATATTAAGCAAACAACTCTATCAGAATGATATTTCATACAATCCACTTTTGTATCGAAATCGGAATGGACGGCAATCTCACAGTCGTATTTGTTATCCTCTTTGCAGAAATAGTAACTTACCTAACGATAAATAGAAAAGTGAATCTATTAAATTATTAAACATTAAATTATAGAAGTGAACTGTTGGGTACAGATGTTTCGTTGGCGACTGCGGCTGACATCTTTAGTAGTACTGCGTTAACAATGTGGGCGAAGGCTAAACTACGAACCTTTAGCTAAAATCTTCAGTTAATCATGTGGGCGAACCTTTTACCTCGAAGCCAGGGTTGAGATCTGCGTTACTTCGAAGTTTACATTGACAATACCTCGAAAGTTCGGCTAAGATCTTCAGTAGTACTACGTTGACAATGTGTGCGAACGTTGTACCTCGAAATCTTAGCTGACATCTTCAGTGGTACTGCGTTAATCATGTGGGCGAACGTATTACCTAGAAGTCACGGCTGAGATATGCGGTGACAACAGCTCGAAGTTTCAGCTGACACCCTGTGTGGCATTGCGTTAAAGATGCGGCGGAAGATTATATCTCGAAGTCTTAACTGACATCTTCAGCGGTACTGCGTTAATTATGTGGGCGAAGATTCTGGCTGACATCTACATTGACAAAACCTCGAAGATTGCGTTGACAACACCTCGAAGGTTCGGCTGATATCTTCAGTGGTATTGCATTGACAGTGTGGGTGAGGGTTATACCTCGATGTCTCAGCTGACATCTTCAGTGGAACTGCGTTAAAAATTAAGGAGAAGATTATACCACGAAGTCTCAGCTGACATCTTCAGTGGAACTGCGTTAATTATGTGGGCGAAGATTCTGGCTGACATCTACACTGACAAAACCTCGAAGTTTGCGTTGTCAACATCTCGAAGGTTCGGCTCATATCTTCAGTGGTATTGCATTGACAATGTGGGTGAAGGTTATACCTCGATGTCTCAGTTGACATCTTCAATGGAACTGCGTTAACTATGCGTGAGAAGGTTTTTTACCTCGAAGTCACTGCTAACATTTGAGTTAACAACACCTCGAAGTTTCAGCTGACACCCTAAGTGGTACTGCGTTAAATAAGCGGGAATACCTCGAAGTTTGCGTTGATAACACCTAGAAAGATCGTCTCAGCTGACATCTTCAGTGGAACTGCGTTAAAAATTAAGGAGAAGATTATACCACGAAGTCTCAGCTGACATCTTCAGTGGAACTGCGTTAATTATGTGGGCGAAGATTCTGGCTGACATCTACACTGACAAAACCTCGAAGTTTGCGTTGTCAACATCTCGAAGGTTCGGCTCATATCTTCAGTGGTATTGCATTGACAATGTGGGTGAAGGTTATACCTCGATGTCTCAGTTGACATCTTCAATGGAACTGCGTTAACTATGCGTGAGAAGGTTTTTTACCTCGAAGTCACTGCTAACATTTGAGTTAACAACACCTCGAAGTTTCAGCTGACACCCTAAGTGGTACTGCGTTAAATAAGCGGGAATACCTCGAAGTTTGCGTTGATAACACCTAGAAAGATCGCCTGATATTTTCAGTGATATTGCATTGACTATGTGGGCGAAGGTTAAACCTCGTTGTCTCAGCTGACATCTTCAGTGGAACTGCGTTAAAAATATGGGGGAAGATTATATCTCGAAGTTTTGAGAAGAGAAGATTTACATTTTTATTATGCTTCTGTAAAGATGTGGAAGAAGCCTTCGAGTGGCAAAAAATGTGCTTGTCTAACAAATTATGATTTATTTATTAATAAATATGTAATAGTATACATACCACTAATTCTCCAGAAAAAGGACAAAAACTTAGAGCATCGATAAAGGTTCCTCGAGGAAAATCCTTACGAGCAATGTAGTTTTCTACTAGTACGTTAAACAAAATCAACGAACTTTTACATTTCCTGTAATCGACATCACACAATCCCAGAACGAGGAAGGGTTCCCGCGTTGGGTGAAAGCTAAGACCCTGCAATGAACACTTTGTACTTGCACTTATTTGGTAACTGTCAGCTTCTCACTGAAGTATACGAATAATACGGTTTTGAATGCGGTGTCAATCAAATATTCATAAAAAACAAAAAAGCGCTCGTTGAAAGGCTAGGAGCTGGAAGGTATCTAGTAGGCTTTAAGAGCTGATAAATATGTAAAAAAGTATATAGAATCTCATGATGCCTACGGTTTTCGAGTGCGGTGTCAACTAGATACCTTCCGGTGTCAGTATTACGAAAACATGTAAAATATTGAAACATAAAAAGGCGCTCGTTAAAAAGCTAGAAGATGGAAGGTATTTAGTAAGCATTAAGAGGTGATAAATATGTAAAAATGTATGCAGAATCTCATGGTACCTATGGTTTTCGAGTGCGGTGCCAAATTGATACTTTCCGGTGTCTGTATTACTAAAATGGTTAAAACATCGAAACATAAAAATGAGCTCGTTATATTTTTAGGAGAAAGATGGTAATTACTTACTTTTAAAAAGTGATATTCATTAAAAAAGATGCGCAGCATTTGATGGTCCCAATGGTTTTTAAGTGCTGTTTTAAAATACTTATACTTTTTAGTTAAATAACGGTCTATTTTAAACAGTCCCGGCGCCTCCACCAAAATTTAGGGTAATTTTTTTGTAAATGTTTGCTAGCAACGTTTATGTATATTAAATTATTCATAAATGGTTTATATTCGGCATTAGAATGATAGTTTATATAAAGATTAACTGAACGTTTAAATTAGTAACTAAATGCTTTTTTAACAATAAAAAGCGTATTATAATAAGTATGTAAAAGTAATCCTACCTTAACATTTACCGAAATGTATAATTTAATAATTTCCGAAAGTTGTGCTAGGTTCCAAATTCGAACGTAATTATCCAGACCGGAAGTAACTAAGTAAGTTTCGTTACAAGAAATATCCACGTAGGTTATGAACTTTGAATGGGCCATAATTTGTCGAAGGAGCGACAGTCTTTTGGTCCACAGGGTCATATAACCGCGCGAGCATGTGGAAATTAATTTATTCGCTTTCGTCCAAACGAGGCAGGTGATGTAGCAGTATGTTGGACAGCAAACACAAGTGACTTCTACTTCTTTCTGAAATATCATAAAAAGAAATTGAATCACTGCTTGTTTCTTGATTTATTTATGCTGTTGATGGTACCTTTTCCTGTTGTACGTTCCAAATAGCAATTTTGGACATTTTTAAACCCATAGCCAACCGCGTTCCTGTATTATTCCATTTTATGCAATTGTTTACTCTTTTACCAGTTTCTGTTATTTTAAATGCGTTTTGTATATTTTCATGCCACACGTAGACTTCGTGTTCGTGAATGCACGCCAGGTCGCCGTTTTTACTCCAGTCCATCTTCGAAAAGGCTTAAAGTAAATATTAAGAGAACCGTTAATTATCTGTACCAAGCGCCATCTAACGAATTAGCTCAGAAGTACAACGACTAAATACGATAATATTCCAACAGATGGCGTTAAGATGACAATCAATATTAAAATTGTTAACTTTTCACATACTTATATCAAATTCTATACCAGGCATGTCCAGTATCGTTACTGGTTTGCCAATAACCGGTTTTTTTCTCGGTTTAACTGGCCACAATTGGTTAGGTACAATGCCATATTTTGGAGAAGAATGGGCACCGTCTGAAAATTTTAGCACATCTTTCCTGTTTAATCCAAACATACAAGACCACAATCTACAATAAAATAAACTAAAAAGTATTAAATATTTTAGGCAGCATTGGAATTAAAAATACAATGGGAGTACATATAATAATAACAATTTTATCGTTAATGTTTTGGTGTGACATCTTGTATATAAATGAGTGTCTTGTAGGTAATGTTCATTTTATTTAATTTAATTAATTATTACGTTTGTGTGTAGATTCGTTTTTGCCAATCGCTCTTTGTACCACTTCCATTTTCGTAATTTTGAGTTGATGAACTAACAAGATAGTTAGATAGGTCCATATCTTTCCCCCTTCGACGAGGGATGAACCTATCTGCTGTGCTTGAACTGTTCTTCATCTGGAATACAAAATTATCGTTCACTTATCCTGTACACAGAACAACAACTGGGATGTATTTAAATCAATTGTTTTAGCAAGTGGTAGGTAACACAAGCTTATTTTTTATACAACAGACAAATATCTAGTTTTCGTTAATGCGTTTACCTTAATTTATTACTCTTATCAATTTAATACACAACTGGTACACTTTAAAAGATGTTAAAATTAATTAAAAGGTTACATTAATAACAAGACGAATCTCCTGTTTGAAATACTATTATCTATCTCGTCCTTGTATGGAGAAAAAAAATTGATAATGATATTTCTTGTCTATTTTTAATCTATCATCCGTTATTTTTGTATAAATATCTATTCAATGCAATATAGAAACTGATTTAAAATTAATCTTCCTAACATTTTAATAAAAATTCATTTAAATTATATAGGGATTTCTTGAAAATTAATAGACTATCATTTCTTATCATTACAATTTATTTGTCCAAAAATTAAAAATGAGAATGCACCACTAGAACAAAAAAAATCCGAATAAGTTTTTATAAAAAATCGCTAAATCCATATATTTGTAGTCTCTTTGTATAAACAAATAAAACGGCCGTTATAAGTTTAATAGCACTTGCTAAAATACATAAAATATTGATACATGAAGTTTTACTAAAACATGTAAAATATTGAAACATAAAAAGGCGCTCGTGGAAGGGCTAGGAGACAGAAGGTATTTAGTAAGCTTTAAGAGGTGATAAATACGTAAAAAAGTACATAGAATCTCATGGTGCCTACGGATTTCGAGTGCGGTGTCAACCATTTACCTTTCGGTGTCAGTATTACTAAAATAAGTAAAATATTGAAACATAGAAAGGCGCTCGTGGAAAGGCTAGGAGATGGAAGGTATTTAGTAAGTTTTAATAGGTGATAAATACGTAAAAAAAGTACATAGAATCTCATGGTGCCTACGGTTTTCGAGTGCGGTGTCAGCTAGATACCTTGCGGTATGTTACTAAAATATTGAAACATAAAAAAGCTGTCGTTACATCCTTAGGATAAAAAAAGTTGTCACTTAGGTTTAAAAAGTGATAATCATTAAAAAAGATGCGCAGCATTTGATGGTCCCAATGGTTTTTAAACGGTCGCGGCGCCTCCACCAAACTTTTGGGTAAAGTTTTTTTGGTAAATGTTTTCTGGCAACGTTTATGTATATTGAATTATTCATAAATTGATAGTTAATATTCGACATTAGAACGGTAGTTTACATAATTATTAACTAAACAGTTTAAATTAGTAACTTAATGCTTTTTTAACAGTGGAGGCGTATGTTTAATAATATCCCTTTTTAATAAACTTTACTGTATGTCTATAAAATTGTTGCTAATCATTTAAATATTTCTACGTAATATTTTGTTTTTTTTTAAGGATTTGTACTGAGTTTCACGTAGAAAAGTTATTTTATTATTTTCTTTGTACTTTTTATTGAGTTGTAATATTTGCTGTATGTTGGGTTGCCTATGTATTATATATAAGTTTTAGTTTAATTGTAAAAAATATTAAATTAGTGCTCTTAAGTGCCTTTGAGTGAAATATATATAATTTAGAGGTGAAAATTTATCATTCTACTTTAATTAAGCCTAACTTTGAGCTGAATTATGGTATTTATTGTGAATTATCCTGGCGCCTTCGCACAGATTTTCAGTATTTTTAATAATTGTTGATAACGTTTGTTTATGTTTATGAATGCCTTATTTTCGCTATTGAAACGACAAAAATCACTTAGAACTTCACGGTACAAATAGTTTTGTTTTAATGGAATTTAAATAGAAAGTCAGATCTTGTTCTATCAGTTTTATTAATTATTTAGATATTTTCTTACGGTGCTTGCATTTATTCTAACAATCTCTTAAATATTTTTCATAGTATATAATATATATTTGAATTAATCTGTTTTTCCATAATAACCAGTGTTAATAATATCGAAAAGTTAACAACCTATTCTACGTTTCTATGTCATCCTGATCAACAATTTCGAAGTCCTTTCCAGTACTAGACCTCTGGCTCGATTCGCTTTCGCTCTCCGACTGGGTTGCCCCATCGTCCACAGCTTTTCTTTTGCCCTTTCTATAAAATTACAAACGATAAACAACATTGCAGTTTTAAAACTAGTGAGAGCTACCTTTGTCTAAGGCCGGTCTCTGAAGGCAACTGGTCGTCATTAGAAGGTTTTTCATCTTCGGTTTTGTCGTCATTTTCATCGTCTGACTGTTTATCCTTTGATTTGGTGTTCGATGACTGTTTATTAGTATTTTTGTCACCCTTATACTCATACTAAAACATATAAATGATTAACAATCACGATCTAAAAACGAATTAACGTTTTAATTTACTATATAAAGTGGCCAAAAAGATGCAAAAAATCCAACATCTTCAGTAAGATTGGGTAAAATCCATATGTGATGTCTACCCAGAGTAACAAGCCAAACGAAGCAGAAAATAAATACTCGAAGGAAGGCTAGTATTATTATAAATACCAAAAATGCAGCCGCTGCTACACTTAAATAGTAGACACCAAGCCTGTGAAAGAAAATTATAATTTCACAAAAACATAGATGGATTACTTAATGTTACCTGACAGTTGGCGGCCAGAGTGGGAAGAGACATACCCCTATGACTCCTAAAACCATAAGCGTGCCACAAATCCAATAGTAGAACGGAATAGGGTCATAAATCCAAACATAAGCATCTAAACCATCTACAAACCTTTGATCATTATGCATATCTAATCTAATTTTTCTTTTCTTTTTATCCTTTTCCTTCTAAAATAAATAGAAAATGTATTCTTTTTGTAATTTTACATATGTCTACATTTATTCAACTTACATTGCTTTCCTTTTTGCCTTCTGTGTTAGTATTTTCAGCATCCGTTCCAACTTTCTCCTCTTCTCTGATTTGCCCTTTAGTAGTCACGTCTGTTTCCTTTTTCTTGTCGTCTTCAGAATCTCCGTCTTTCTTCTTGGAACTTTTTTTCAATTTCAATTCTTGTTCCGACACAGGAACTTTTCTAGCTCTATGGAAGAATTTATGGAGCAACATCACATTTAAAAACTCGACAATTTCTTCTCTACATGTAAACAATGGTTCATCACCACTTGCCCACTGAGAGCTCATTAAGGCATCAACTGCTTTAGATGCTGCAAATATGGCATATATCAATTGTAATTGTTTTTTAAGGAAAATTAATAATTTACCAGTAAAGTACTCCACATTATGATTTAGAAATTTTGTCTTTTTTATTGGAACATTACTTCTCATCCATTTTGCAATAGACACTTCATCTTTTGAGGGATGTTCTGATGTTGTTTCGTCCAGAGTAGTTATTTCCTATTAACAAAACATTACTGCTTTATATACTTATTTCTCTAAAACTCTTAGCACAATTATGTAACATTATTGAAGGATAAACAAGTAAACTGCTTCTATTAATCAATAAGTTGTTTTGAGATCATCACTTATTTTTGGTAACTTCAATAAACCATAAATTTGTCTAAAATATTTGATAATAAAGTCCTCGTCTATTCGTAAACTTATTTTATCTGGGGATATTGAGGAAATAAGGTAGCCTAAGTAAGTAGACCAAACTGGATAAAAGGTACTTTTATGATCCTATGATAAGAAACGTGTGTAAAAATAAATAATAAATAAACAAAATTATTACAGTTTGTTAAACAATTACCTCCATGTTATTAAATAAATATTAGCAATGAAGACATTAAAAAAACGGTAATTACGTGGTCATTTTTTTAACCTTTTATGTGTGCATAAGTGAAACATATTGTTAGTTGGCAATTATGACCTTTGCTTTTGAAAAAAATTTTTGAAGTTTTACATAAACCAAGCTTTGTGAAATCAACAAAAATTTAAAGAATGCACAAGATATTTTTACCTCTTTTCTTTTCTTTCCTTTTTTTCTATCCGTCATATTTTTCGTGCTTAATTGTAGTTATTGTAGAATAAATCAATAAACCGACACTAAAATCGCAATTTTTAACTAAAACGTAAATATTTAAACCACGCACTTAATACGTACTCGTTCAATTTTTAACAGTTAACAAGCACTACTCATTATTTATAACATTAATTAACAACATTTGCATAACCTTAAATTAAAGAATAAAATTTCCTTTCATACAACCATTGACTTCAAGGTTGATGCCTTATCTATAGTTCCAAGCCATAGATAACTTTCAAGTGTTTCAATTTAGCATATTATTAATCATGTTTTAATGATTTCAGACATTACTTTTAATTTAAATTTGTGTCTTTAATTAAGTAGATAAAGGTAGTTATCAAATAAATAAAAATAATTATTTTTATGCTGTGACAATGGGCACGCTAAAGTAGATGCAATCAGTAGCAATGTTAACTCATAAATATATATGAATGCTCAATTCTATTTGCGGCCGATATAGTTCTTTCTTTTTTTTGTTTATTTATGTACAATATGCAGTAGTTCAACATGAAAGAATGTTTAGAAACAGTTAATATCTGTGTACAAACAGTAATATTTCAAAAATCTGAAGATGGTTGAATAAGCCGAAACGTTTCAAAAAACATAAAGTTGCTTAATTATTTGACCGCCACCCTAGAAAAAACTATATAATTTAAAAGTAACAGTCAGGAATGTAATTTAAATGTTATGTGTAGCTTAGCGTGTCTCTAACCACGTCGTTATTTTTATGATATGCTCTCTCTTGTTTCTCTGTGGTAGTGAGTGACCGTGATGACAGCTGACAGCTGGTGCAGTGACAGTTCTTCAGTCACTGTCGAAGCTTTTGTTAAGTTTAATGTCAGATTATCTACTTAAAAATCGTTTTTAATTGATAAATTTCAAGAAAAACAACTTTTAACTTGGTCACATTATTATAAGTACAATGTACGTATAAATATATTCACAATTTATTAATAAGTGTGACGGGACGTAATATTGTGGTTATGTTTTTCAGCAGGTGCAAGCCTTAATTCTTCCTAAAATTGTCCGTTTAACTAGAAATGAACAGTGATAGTGATACCGAAACATGGTTAAGTAACTGGGAACAACATTGTATCACATCCGTTGACGAACAACCAAATTATGAACAATTACTGATTACAGAAACAGATAATGCACATAGAACAATATGGGCTTCATTTCAGGACTCTGCAACAGCGATTGCACAACTATATAAAGGTATGTGTATGTAGGTATTTATTTATTTACTATTCTTCTGTAAGATGTAATATACCAGTGCTAAAGATTTCTATTAGTAATGATAAAAATCTAAGTGACATTTATGTTCTTTAAGACCGACATTCAAGTGAACCTTCTTCCTTATGGGCTCCATTTCAAACTGCAGCAGGATCGATTACTACCCTTTATAAAGGTAATATTATTATTATTACTGTTTGTCCATTTTTAAAATTATTTACTTTTAGATTCTTGTGATGTCTTGAGAAATACGAGTGAAGTAGCTATTCANCTAAAGATTTCTATTAGTAATGATAAAAATCTAAGTGACATTTATGTTCTTTAAGACCGACATTCAAGTGAACCTTCTTCCTTATGGGCTCCATTTCAAACTGCAGCAGGATCGATTACTACCCTTTATAAAGGTAATATTATTATTATTACTGTTTGTCCATTTTTAAAATTATTTACTTTTAGATTCTTGTGATGTCTTGAGAAATACGAGTGAAGTAGCTATTCAATGTGGTTATCAGAAGAGGAACATAGAACTATTTAATTGGGCAAAGAAGAGGAGACGTCATATAAAGAGGGAAGATCTGTTAGCATATTTAGCTGGTAAACCGGTACAAAAAACAAATAGCCATTATCACCATTCTCTAAGTCATAGGTAATTATAATTTTTGACACAGTTCTGCAATAGATTGTTCATTTATAAATTTATTGTTTTTCCTTATTAGAACGTCGCCTAAGCCTCGAAATTTGTCACCACCTCCAGGTGTAGCTTCACCTGCAAGTATTGGCGATTCTGAATTAAATACGTTTAGGGAAGCACTGGTCCGTTCACCGTCATCAAAACGTCCCAAAGGGTCGGAATTGTGTGCGTTTATTAATGGCGAATTTGCTATACATTGTAAACGTCCTGCAAGTCCATCTGATGTCATAATGGGCAGCCCATCACAACATAAAAGGCCCAAATTAATGTGAAAAAAAAATAGGGAAAAAATTATTAACAGCACATCGTTTTAATCTTTACATTGTAGGCGTGTAAAAAATGTAACAATAATGTTCATTATTAATTTAAATTTAAAAAGAAAGAAAAAAAAACAAGAACCTTAACAAATACTATTCTGTTGTTTAGTTTACTTAATCTTTGAGAGGAAACGTTGTATGTATAAAAAAAATGTGCTTTAGACACGATACCTAATGTATTGGAATTAATTTTTTTTTAATTTATAAGTAGATGTTTTTTCATATAGAGTTATACTACTTTTATCATTTTGTTAAGTAATTAAATGATACCTTTCATTTGATTTAAAAATCGATTTGATTACATTATTTCTGTTTTTTAATACCCTTCTTAGGGTTCATTACCAAAAAACCGTCTTTGCTCATTATCTTTTTAAATTACTTTATTTTCATTAGAAATGCAGTTTTGAAAATACAAAGACGAAAACCAGTGTTGGGTGAAATATTATATAAAGAAAAGATTTTATTTTCTAATTTACCCTCCCCTTTTGATTTACAATCAAAAGTGAGAAATAAATAAACAAAATTATTACAGTTTGTTAAACAATTACCTCCATGTTATTAAATAAATATTAGCAATGAAGACATTAAAAAAACGGTAATTACGTGGTCATTTTTTTAACCTTTTATGTGTGCATAAGTGAAACATATTGTTAGTTGGCAATTATGACCTTTGCTTTTGAAAAAAATTTTTGAAGTTTTACATAAACCAAGCTTTGTGAAATCAACAAAAATTTAAAGAATGCACAAGATATTTTTACCTCTTTTCTTTTCTTTCCTTTTTTTCTATCCGTCATATTTTTCGTGCTTAATTGTAGTTATTGTAGAATAAATCAATAAACCGACACTAAAATCGCAATTTTTAACTAAAACGTAAATATTTAAACCACGCACTTAATACGTACTCGTTCAATTTTTAACAGTTAACAAGCACTACTCATTATTTATAACATTAATTAACAACATTTGCATAACCTTAAATTAAAGAATAAAATTTCCTTTCATACAACCATTGACTTCAAGGTTGATGCCTTATCTATAGTTCCAAGCCATAGATAACTTTCAAGTGTTTCAATTTAGCATATTATTAATCATGTTTTAATGATTTCAGACATTACTTTTAATTTAAATTTGTGTCTTTAATTAAGTAGATAAAGGTAGTTATCAAATAAATAAAAATAATTATTTTTATGCTGTGACAATGGGCACGCTAAAGTAGATGCAATCAGTAGCAATGTTAACTCATAAATATATATGAATGCTCAATTCTATTTGCGGCCGATATAGTTCTTTCTTTTTTTTGTTTATTTATGTACAATATGCAGTAGTTCAACATGAAAGAATGTTTAGAAACAGTTAATATCTGTGTACAAACAGTAATATTTCAAAAATCTGAAGATGGTTGAATAAGCCGAAACGTTTCAAAAAACATAAAGTTGCTTAATTATTTGACCGCCACCCTAGAAAAAACTATATAATTTAAAAGTAACAGTCAGGAATGTAATTTAAATGTTATGTGTAGCTTAGCGTGTCTCTAACCACGTCGTTATTTTTATGATATGCTCTCTCTTGTTTCTCTGTGGTAGTGAGTGACCGTGATGACAGCTGACAGCTGGTGCAGTGACAGTTCTTCAGTCACTGTCGAAGCTTTTGTTAAGTTTAATGTCAGATTATCTACTTAAAAATCGTTTTTAATTGATAAATTTCAAGAAAAACAACTTTTAACTTGGTCACATTATTATAAGTACAATGTACGTATAAATATATTCACAATTTATTAATAAGTGTGACGGGACGTAATATTGTGGTTATGTTTTTCAGCAGGTGCAAGCCTTAATTCTTCCTAAAATTGTCCGTTTAACTAGAAATGAACAGTGATAGTGATACCGAAACATGGTTAAGTAACTGGGAACAACATTGTATCACATCCGTTGACGAACAACCAAATTATGAACAATTACTGATTACAGAAACAGATAATGCACATAGAACAATATGGGCTTCATTTCAGGACTCTGCAACAGCGATTGCACAACTATATAAAGGTATGTGTATGTAGGTATTTATTTATTTACTATTCTTCTGTAAGATGTAATATACCAGTGCTAAAGATTTCTATTAGTAATGATAAAAATCTAAGTGACATTTATGTTCTTTAAGACCGACATTCAAGTGAACCTTCTTCCTTATGGGCTCCATTTCAAACTGCAGCAGGATCGATTACTACCCTTTATAAAGGTAATATTATTATTATTACTGTTTGTCCATTTTTAAAATTATTTACTTTTAGATTCTTGTGATGTCTTGAGAAATACGAGTGAAGTAGCTATTCAATGTGGTTATCAGAAGAGGAACATAGAACTATTTAATTGGGCAAAGAAGAGGAGACGTCATATAAAGAGGGAAGATCTGTTAGCATATTTAGCTGGTAAACCGGTACAAAAAACAAATAGCCATTATCACCATTCTCTAAGTCATAGGTAATTATAATTTTTGACACAGTTCTGCAATAGATTGTTCATTTATAAATTTNTTTAAAAAGAAAGAAAAAAAAACAAGAACCTTAACAAATACTATTCTGTTGTTTAGTTTACTTAATCTTTGAGAGGAAACGTTGTATGTATAAAAAAAATGTGCTTTAGACACGATACCTAATGTATTGGAATTAATTTTTTTTTAATTTATAAGTAGATGTTTTTTCATATAGAGTTATACTACTTTTATCATTTTGTTAAGTAATTAAATGATACCTTTCATTTGATTTAAAAATCGATTTGATTACATTATTTCTGTTTTTTAATACCCTTCTTAGGGTTCATTACCAAAAAACCGTCTTTGCTCATTATCTTTTTAAATTACTTTATTTTCATTAGAAATGCAGTTTTGAAAATACAAAGACGAAAACCAGTGTTGGGTGAAATATTATATAAAGAAAAGATTTTATTTTCTAATTTACCCTCCCCTTTTGATTTACAATCAAAAGTGAGAAATCGCCTTTTTTTAGTTGTTAAAAAAATAAAAACATTTGGAATGTTGTGTATCTCGTCATTCTACGTTCATTAAAAAAGGGTGCGGAACGATCAGCCACACGTCTCACGTACGCTAAAAAACACAATTGAATAATTGTTTACTCTATTACATATTTTAAGTGGAACATTGTTATTTTATTCGAATATCCAAATTTGTAAATATTTAATATAATGATACAAACACATTTACGCTAATTTTCAAATTTGGCGCTAAAGAATCTGCATGTTTTCTACAGGGGCTATTCACGAAATGTTATCCGAGCTAAAGAATATTTTCTACAAACATGCTAGGAAATATTCCGTAATTTTCATTTATTATGTTAATTATAGTAGCAGTAAGTAACATTTTTTTGTATCAGATTACTTTAGAATTATTATTCACGTCTTTTTATTCAGTAAAAAAAATTGTTTGGCGATCCTTGTATAATTTGCTTTGTTTTCTATTGTGATATTCTATGGTTATGTTGTAAGGTTTGCACGTTATTTACCAGTTTTGTGGGGTTATATGTCTATTTTTTAACACTTGTTGATCATTAAAATCTTTATCATGTTTTGAAATCCTTTTTAAAGAAAACAATTTAGTTATTACATATCTTCTCGTTTTCCAGTATCCAGTTCGTTTCCTACTGCATTAAACTACCAACGGTTCGTACATTATTTTTGTAATTAATTAGATCATTTTAAAATGACGACAAAAATCGTATTAGTTATTGGAAGTGGAGGACGAGAACATGCTATTGTCTGGAAAATATCACAAAACGATAAATTAGAACGAATATTTGTGTGTCCTGGCAGTGCTGGAATTGAAACTGTACCAAAAGCCAAAAATGTTGACCTAAATTTAAAAAACTTCAAGGTGAGCTTTTTATGGAAGTCTTTAATTAATTACAACTTCAGACTTTCGTTAATCCATCTTCAATTAATTTAATTTAAAATATAACTTCAGTTAAAATAACTGCAATTAATTTTGATTTTAGAATCAACCTGTAAATGGAATAAGAGCAGTATTTTGAAACGTTAGGCAAACATTAATTAAAAAGTAAAATTTTATTTGTATATGAAGAAATAATCTAATCTAGTATTCTTGATTGAAGCTGCAAGGGGTCTTGCATCATGTATAAACACTTTTATCTTAACCTTTGCATAAGCAAAACAAAATCATGGCAGATTGTTGGTTTCAACACTTTTAAAATATTTTATCTTTGTGTTTTCGTCATGAATATTATTTAGTAGGAACGTAACTTAATTAAGCAATAATTACTGATTATTATTCTAGCACATGTTGCTCAGAAACATGTTTGTTCTGTTTGCTGATAAAATGTAATACGTATGTTTGTTACAAATATGTTTTTAAAAGAAGTTTTTAATTCCTATAAATAGCACAACAATTTTTGAGCAACACATAATTAATTTTGTTATAATAATTTAAATAATATGTATGTATAACAGAAGTTCTGAAGTCTTTGTTATTCTACATATACTCTAATAAACATCAGAAGTTTAAGTTGAATGTTAGGTAGAATACATTTATAAAATATTCCACATTTATTTATAATTTTACTTGTTTCATAAACTGTGTGGTATAATTGCTAGGAATATATTTTTGTAAGATCTAATAATTAATTTAATTTTCATTTCAGGAAATAGGTGAGTGGTGTAAAAAGAATAACGTCGATCTAGTTGTTGTGGGCCCAGAAGATCCCCTTTCACAAGGTATAGCAGACGTTTTGGATGAATATAAAATTCCCACGTTTGGTCCCAAGAAAAATGGAGCAAGAATTGAAGCAGACAAAGAATGGGCAAAGTTCTTCATGGACAAGTATTCTATACCGACAGCACGTTGGCAATCGTTTACTAATGCTGATAAAGCAAAACAGTTTATCAAATCGTAAGAAATTTTTTTATTTTGTACATTAAGTTAATTTTGTTCATTTTATATTATGTTTGTTTTAGGGCCGATTTTCTTGCTCTTGTGGTAAAAGCAAGCGGATTAGCTGCAGGCAAGGGAGTGGTAGTCGCTGAAAATGTCCAAGAGGCTTGTAAAGCTGTCGATGAAATTATAACAGCAAAGAAATATGGTGAGGCAGGCGAAACTGTTGTAATTGAAGAGCTTCTAGTGGGAGAAGAAGTCTCAGTAAGTATAAATTAGTTGTATATGATTACATATCAAAAATATTTGATACGCTTGCCTTTCAGTAGGTAATGTTCATTTTATTTAATTTAATTAATTATTACGTTTGTGTGTAGATTCGTTTTTGCCAATCGCTCTTTGTACCACTTCCATTTTCGTAATTTTGAGTTGATGAACTAACAAGATAGTTAGATAGGTCCATATCTTTCCCCCTTCGACGAGGGATGAACCTATCTGCTGTGCTTGAACTGTTCTTCATCTGGAATACAAAATTATCGTTCACTTATCCTGTACACAGAACAACAACTGGGATGTATTTAAATCAATTGTTTTAGCAAGTGGTAGGTAACACAAGCTTATTTTTTATACAACAGACAAATATCTAGTTTTCGTTAATGCGTTTACCTTAATTTATTACTCTTATCAATTTAATACACAACTGGTACACTTTAAAAGATGTTAAAATTAATTAAAAGGTTACATTAATAACAAGACGAATCTCCTGTTTGAAATACTATTATCTATCTCGTCCTTGTATGGAGAAAAAAAATTGATAATGATATTTCTTGTCTATTTTTAATCTATCATCCGTTATTTTTGTATAAATATCTATTCAATGCAATATAGAAACTGATTTAAAATTAATCTTCCTAACATTTTAATAAAAATTCATTTAAATTATATAGGGATTTCTTGAAAATTAATAGACTATCATTTCTTATCATTACAATTTATTTGTCCAAAAATTAAAAATGAGANTGTAAAGCTGTCGATGAAATTATAACAGCAAAGAAATATGGTGAGGCAGGCGAAACTGTTGTAATTGAAGAGCTTCTAGTGGGAGAAGAAGTCTCAGTAAGTATAAATTAGTTGTATATGATTACATATCAAAAATATTTGATACGCTTGCCTTTCAGGTATTGGCGTTTACTGATGGAACAACAGTGAGGCCTTTGTTGCCTGCTCAGGACCACAAGAAGATCTTTGAGAACGACTTAGGACCAAATACTGGAGGAATGGGTGCATATTGTCCATGTCATCTCATTGATTCCGACACTATGGATTTCGTTTACAAAAATATTCTTCAAAAAACTATTGAAGGGTTTAAAAAGGAAAAGATACACTTTGTAGGTATGTTAAATAAATAAACCATTAGTTATTTTAACGAACTAATATGCTTTGTTTTGTTGTAGGTGTTTTATATGCTGGTCTTATATTGACTGAAAAAGGGCCAAAAGTTTTGGAATTTAACTGCAGATTTGGAGATCCTGAAACGGAGGTGATTCTCCCACTTTTAGAGACCGATTTGCTCGAAGTTATGGTATCCTGTTGCCAAGGTAGGCTACACAATGTGGAACTGAAATGGAAAGAAAACTTAACAGCAGTTGGTGTGGTTTTGGCTTCACGTGGTTATCCAGCGAGTTCCTCAAAAGGAGACGTTATTACTGGTAAATTAACATTATTAAATGCATTTTTAATTATTATTAGTTAAGAGGTAATTTATTTATATTTTCTCGTTTTAGGAATCAGTAAGGTTGAAAGTTTACCAAACTGTCTCGTATTTCATTGTGGAACATTACAAAAAGACAGTAATACGTTTGTAACCAATGGAGGAAGAGTCCTTATAATAGTGTCTTTGAGCAGAGATATCCCTGTGGCAATTGGTCGAGCCCTGTTGTCTTGCAGTTTAATAGACTTCGATGGCAAACAATACAGGAAAGACATAGCACAAAAAGGAGTCAGCAGGTTGCCAGATAGATTAATAATCATGTACATAATTAATTCTATTATTTAATATTTTATTATTTATAGATCAATTTTAAAGCAGGGTACTTCAACGTATCAGGATAGTGGTGTAAATATAGCTGTTGGAAACAAGTTTGTCGATAATATAAAGCCTTTGACCAAAGCCACTTCGAGGGAGGAAGTTATTGGAGGATTAGGATCGTTTGGGGGACTTTTCGACTTGAAATTGACAAACTATCAACATCCCATTCTAGTCTCTGGTACAGACGGAGTTGGAACAAAACTTAAAGTAAATTATATTTTAATTATTTCCTTGTAAATTATTTACAAGTAAGTTGTTTTATTTAATTTATAGATTGCAGAAGAAATAAACGTGCATAGCTCGATTGGAATTGATCTTGTGGCAATGTGTGTTAACGACATATTGGCCCACGGGGCAGAGCCTTTGTTTTTCCTAGATTACTTCGCTTGTGGACATTTAGATCTAAAAATTGCTCAAGAGGTCATATCTGGGATTGCAGAAGGATGTAGACAAGCTGGATGTGCACTAATTGGTATGAAAAAAAATTGTCATTCATTTATCTTTTATTTAATTAATAAATCATTAAATTTTAGGGGGTGAAACGGCTGAGATGTCGGGTATGTATTCAGGCGATGAATATGATTTGGCAGGATTCACTGTTGGGGCTGTCGAACAGGACAAGTTGTTACCTAAACTCCAATTAATTAAGGACGGGGATGCAGTTATTGGTTTGGCTTCATCTGGAGTTCATAGTAACGGTTTCAGTTTAGTTAGGAAGACTTTACTATCTTCAGGAGGAAAGTTTGAGGACGTGGCACCGTTTAGTTCGGAAAATAAAAGCTTTGGTACGTTACTTTGGATATTTTGTAATGGTTAGTTGTTTTTTTGACCCAAATTAATAGTATTTTTGTTTAAGGGGAGGAATTTCTTAAACCGACGAAAATTTATGTAAAGTCTGTCTTGCCTTTAATGAAGAAAGGAAAAGTGAAAGCTTTCGCTCATATAACAGGTGGTGGGTTGGTTGAAAACGTCCCCAGGATTCTATCAAACAATTACAAAGTAGAAATTGACGCAACCAATTGGGAAATTCCCCCTGTATTTGGTTGGTTAGCTGCAGTGGGTAAGGATCCCCTTTTAAAGCCTTTTCTTAAGGATTTACTTTGCTAATAATTCGTAATTCTTTATCTAAAGGCAATATTAACGAAAAGGAGATGCTGAAAACCTTTAATTGTGGAATTGGAGGGGTTTTAATAGTTGACAACAAAGATGTCGATGAAATTCTTAAAAGTTTCCCTAAATCTGAGTCCTTCGTTATAGGATCAGTTGTGCAAACAAATGGTACGCCAGTATGCATTTGTACAAATTATTTATTTTAATTAATTACGCTTTTTTATTAGGATCTGAAAAAGTCCATATTAAAAACTTTACAAAATCCATGGAGCAAGTAATGCGCCCTTTCATCCCTAGTCTAATTTTGAAGCACTTGCAACCAAAAAAGAGGGTTGGAGTTCTTATTTCCGGGAGCGGTACTAATCTACAATCATTAATAAATGCTACCAAGGATCCAACTCAGAATATAAATGCAGAAATTGTTGTCGTCATTTCAAACAAACCCAACGTGGATGGACTTAACCGAGCTAGAAGAGCTGACATTCCAACAGTTGTAAGTTATTCAAATCGATTTATTTGAATTAAGTATACGCAGTACTGTTGTTAGTTTGTCTTTGATTGTTTTAGATAATTCAAAATAAAGAGTATAAGACTCGTGAAGAATTTGATTTGGCAGTACATGAAGAACTAGTTAAGAGGAACGTAGATGTAATTTGTCTCGCTGGTTTCATGAGGATCCTTACTGGAGAATTTGTGAGAAAGTGGCGAGGACGACTGCTGAACATACATCCGGCCCTTCTACCACTTTTTAAAGGGACTCATGCCCAAAGACAAGCCTTGGAAGCTGGAGTACGAGTGTCAGGCTGTACTGTCCACTTTGTAGAGGTAAGTTCATATTATATTAGTATGGGGGGCTCTAAATTTGTTATGAAAGAGTCTACAACGAATTAAATAATTTCGAGCCTGGGGTAAAATGTAAGAATACTTTTATATTATAATTTTAAAAAGTAATTATTCATTTCAGGAAAACGTAGATGCCGGGGCAATTATAGCTCAACAGTGTGTACCAGTGTATCCTAACGATACTGAGGAATCGTTAACTGAAAGAATAAAAGAAGCTGAACATAAATTATATCCGTCCGCTTTAAATTTGTTAGTTTCAGAGACAATTAAGTTAGGTACTGATAAAAAGTTATACTGGAAATAGAATATTAGAATTAATTGCTCATTATTATTTTTTTGTAATGTAATTGTTTGATAATACAGTACAGTAATTTATAGCTAGACATTTGATATATCTATGTATAAATTGAACAGTTCAACAACCGTCTATTAAACGATATTTTTTACTTTTAAATTAATTTTCTTAACTATGTATACATTTAGCTGTAAGAAAGAAAGAAGTGTATTTCATCTTGTGACTTAGTTAATGAGGATTGCTATATTAATTTCCTTAAGTAGAACGAATAAAAAAAAGAGAAACAAATACTAACTGAACAGGCAGAAAAAGAACTTTATTTTTACTCACATTACAAATGTGTAACTGAACACGATAAATACAGAAAAGATCTATAATTCAAGAAGTATTGTAAAACATACAATGTATTTCAATATATAAATAATGATTGGGTTGGGAACACATAACTGAATGAATGAAAAAGATCACAATTGACTAGTTACGTTGATTACTTAACTTTTCGCCAATTTTTATAACTACATGTACTTTCGACAACAAAAAGTGCCCTCACATATTTAAACATATCTACAAGCCTTTGGTTTTATGATTTATGATTAATTTTATGGTTGTTGAAATTATAACACATCGCAGTTCAAGAATAACAGACACTGTCACATTACTATATTAGATACATTTATTTCATGAGTTGAAGAAGGAAGGTAGGCCTAAACACTTATACGTTTAGCACGTATTTTTTCAGAAACATAAACCTAATTTGGAGGCTTTTCTAGAGGAAATGAACGACGACATCATGGAACTGCAGAGATGGCATCGTATAAGCTCAACAATCCATAAGAACTACTACAGATATGTCGAAAACCATTAACATTATTATTTAAAAAGAAATGTATACTTAAAACATACCAAATTCTTGTTTTAAAATAAAATTTAAGCAATTTTAGTAACAATAATAGCGGTTGTAAACAACAACATAACCCATAAGCAACCCACTGTCATTTAAGTAAGCTTCGATAAAATATTGAGATTTAAAAATGTTTATTGTGAATAATTAATTTAAAACCAAATAGTAGCATGTGTTAGAAAGCTCTCATAAACTAATTGCAACGATATTTTTCAATTTAAGTTTCAGAAAACAATTTTTTGTAAGTAAATCAGTTCATACAACATCGGACATTAAAAAGAACGCACCTATTCGATTTTGTTTATGAAAATAATAATAACACTAAATACCCAACATGACTTATGCTCTCCTAATACAAAAGTACGAAATTTTGAAATGCTCACAATTATCAATGATTCCCGGCGCATCCACCATTTTTTCAAATATAATTTTATTTGCGGTGCCACTAAAATTTTCAAAATTTGTATTAGGAAAGCATAAGTTAATAAAGTTCTTTTTGTAACTTTTTTATATTCCTAATTACTTTGTTCATGTTTGTGTAATATTTATAATTGTATATTAATTGTTTTTTAATTCAATGCAGAAAAAGGGAAGCAGGTTCTAAATGAATACATCAAGGCTTTATTTTGTTTTATAAATAATTTATTCATTTGAATAACTACAAGATAACTATGCTATGTATTACCTAAAAAAAATAAATTATGATACTCAATAAGATTGCAGAAGGATGTAGACAAGCTGGATGTGCACTAATTGGTATGAAAAAAAATTGTCATTCATTTATCTTTTATTTAATTAATAAATCATTAAATTTTAGGGGGTGAAACGGCTGAGATGTCGGGTATGTATTCAGGCGATGAATATGATTTGGCAGGATTCACTGTTGGGGCTGTCGAACAGGACAAGTTGTTACCTAAACTCCAATTAATTAAGGACGGGGATGCAGTTATTGGTTTGGCTTCATCTGGAGTTCATAGTAACGGNTACCGAAAATTTAAATATTATATTTATATTGCTTTTAGTGAATTTCATTAACATAGAGATCTTCATATTATCACCATTTAGTCCTTTTTATTATCATCAATTTGCATTAAATAAAACACTGAAACCCAAAACTCCACATAAAAACGTTTAAAAAACCTAAAGGGAGTTAAATACCCAAGGTTTCAAACAGGCTGGGTATGTTTTAGGGGCTGGGGTTTGAGGGAATTCTCACTATCAAATGTGACTGTAGGGTAAGACAGAAAATGGTAAATATTCAACACCAAACAGAGAAGAAAGAGCTGTATATTGTGTATGCTTCCAAACGTATCTGGTGGATGTTATTCATTGTTAATTCTTAATTCTTCTCCCTATATTACAAATAATTCCCTAATGTGCTAATGTATACAACCTTGTATACACATCTGTAACTTGAGTGTCTAACTTTACATCCCCTTTTTTAAAGATCCAGCTTATGTTGTGATTTGAGTAGTCGATGCATTTTCTTTTTGTTCACAAAACCTTCCTCAAAATCTGTTTCTAATGAATAACAATTTTTTTCAATGCTGAACTCATATTTTTAGTCTTCAACTCCAGAATAGTTTCTTGAAGTGGACTTTACTGGTTCCATTGAATCATCTCTACTTCATGAGAGAACATGGAGTCTAGTTCATTAGTTTTACTTTCTAAATTTAAATAAATCTTTATATTCCCATTCTTCTTCCCTATTTTTACATTCTCATTTTTCTCTTCTTCCCAAGGTACAATAATTCCATAATGTATACAACCCTTTATACACATTCTCACTTAGGTTGCCTACTTTTAGAGCAGAGGCGTTCAATATTCACAAAATTTAAACTTATTTAAAATGGAAAGATTTGCCCTTCTCCCTTTAATCAAGGATGGCTTTCCTAGTATAGTTAGGTAGCTTTGCTAGGGTGTGGGGGCCCAGCCCGCCATTTGATTACCACCCCAACGTGTCAATTTTGGTAATCCCATTAGAGATCAACTAATTTTCTAGTAAAATTGATAAATTTTGGAATTAAATTCAAACTGTGGAGTATAGTTGATGGATGTCTAACGATGGTGCTAAATTTAAAGTGAAAAGGAACCATTAAATATAGAATAGTTGATATTTAAAATAGAAATAAAGAAGTTACCAAAAAAAAGAACGAAAACGGTTTATTTTCTTTTTTGGGTTGGGTAATGAGTTCTGCAGAGTGGGCACTGCCCACCCTTGGCTCCCTAACTACCTCCAACTCTATAAATGGGTGGTTTAGCGAAGCATACACAATACACAACCCTTTCTTCATTATTTGATATTGAACGTCTACTCTTTGTTATATTATCCTTAAATAAGAGTGACCTCCCTTCAATCTAATCTCCAAACCCCCCCCCCCCTTAGTGGTTTAGAATCACATGTTCTCATTCGTTTTAGGAGAGGGTATCTTGACTATTTATATATATAACAGGCTTTGGGGGTCAAAAAGCATTGTCAGTAATTTTGGGTTTGGTTCCTTTAGTTCAGATTCACAAAACTCCATTTGATATTCTTATACGATTTTGGGCATTCATTTTATTTCGTAACTAATTTATTTACCATAACTTGGGTCCCACGGCTGGATCTCTCCAGATCCAAAAATCACGAACAGCGTATTCCCCACTATCAGTATAGCTGCTGACGTTAAAAATATTATCATCCAGAGATAAGTGTCTTTCTAAAAAATGAATTCAATCACTTGATATCATATCTGAGGACAACCGCTATTGATTGTATTGCGTTACAAAATACAGTCCTTCGATTAAACTGATAAAATATTTGACACAATTAGAAAAGCATGAGAAATACCTCGTCGGTAACAACCCATTGCACACAAAGAGGACCAAGAATTGCCATTGTAACAGCAGATCCAGTAGTGATTCCCATAAGGGTTCCAGAATGTGTTGGTGACATGTCCACATGATTCACAGTAAAGCCACTTAAAGCAGCGGCGTTGAGTCCTACAGCTAGTATCAGAAGTACCATGGTGACAGTTAAAGAAACGTTACCATAAAACGACAGGAAAATTAGTGCTATAGCGGGACCGTACATCCCTAAAATATACACAATCTCACATTACACAGTTGCATCTTTGGACACATATTATTTACACACCTATACTGTTGAGAATTTTTCTCACAGTTCCAATAGTAAAAATCGCACGATTTATCAAAAAATCCGCCAAAAAACTGTAAGCAAACGAAAACAACCACATGGCGAAATATGGCTGTGCTGACAGAAGACCGTTCTGATAAAACATAATTTACTAAAATTAATATCAGACAAGCATACCTTTACGTTATCAATTGCACATAAAAAAACTCACCGCAGAAATGTCTAAATCGAACATGGCGTTAATGTAACTGGGAATTTCCGTGACCATGATCCAGAAACCCCAATTATGAGCCATTTGCACAAACATAAGGGACCACAGAGGTGTCGACTTAAGAAATGACTTCCAAGGGGTTTCAATGTCCTAATTAAAGAAAAGATAAAATTGTACTATGGAGTTCTGGAAATAATAAACCTTAGGCTTTATCTACGTATCCAATGTTCAAAATGTTCTACAACCTCTTTCGTTTTAATACTAGCTAAGTACTTACTTTGGGTTTTTCGCTTTTGAAAAAGGACTTTTCGATGTATTCCAGTTCTTCTATGCTGATCGATTTATGCTCCGAGGGACTGTTGGCCCCCAAAAAGAACCATGCAACCACCCATATGAGTCCCAAACCTCCGAAGAAGAAAAAAGCAGAGGGCCACCCATACGAACTGTTACAGAACCATCCTGTTATAGGCATCGACAGTGCCGTTCCCAATATAGTCCCTAAAAATTATTCAAAACTATGACGATTATTATATAAGACACTTTTGATAGTAAATCAAATAATCTCAAGAACGTTAGTTTAAAGATCGTCTAATCTAAAATGGGAGGTCCACTAACTAATCCTTCATGTCTTAGGACCTTCCCTTATTGATTAATTGCTGCAGGATTTCATGGTCAGAATCAATATTGGTAGAATTATCTACCAATTATTATTATTTATCAACTTAGCCCATAACCAGCAAGCTCGGAAAAACCTCCAATGTTCATATTTCCCTTATTGATTCCTATGACGCGCTTCTGTTTTCCTGTTCTTTTTAATACTTTCTCATTTCTAACCTTTTCTATTTTTATCATCCCAAAGGGTTAAGGAATCCCAAAATAGTATTTACCGGAATAGACAAACGAACCCAGCCGTGATCTTTCTGACGGCGGAACCCATTTACCCAAAAGGTTTGATGTCCCAGGCAAGAAGAACCCTTGAGTCATCCCCTGTACTATCCTACATATCATAACACCATATGATCCTAATCGGGCCATAAATGGTATTGCAATTGTAAATATCGAGCAGATGATCGTTGCAATACAAAATGGCATTTTTGGTCCATATTTCGTAGCTATATATCCAGCTGGGAATAGAGTTACGATATTACCCCAAAAAAACGAAGATAAAATTGTACTTTTATCATTCCAATCGTACGTCTGCAAAATATTCAGAAAAAAGTTCTGATAAGTGCATAGCAGTATTAGCATCTAGCAAGGAGGACTTAGAGATAGCGTTAAATAAAGTGGAAGCGGTATTGACAAAACATTACTGTATGAAAATAAACAAAATTAAAACTAAAGTACTGGTATGCAAGGGTAAAAAAGGTAGGGAAAGGGCGAATATAAAGATAGGAGACGAAAAATTAGAAGAAGTGGCTGATTTTAGATACCTAGGAAGTCAGATAAGTGAGGATGGAAGGAGTAGTATAGATATAAAGCAGAGGATAGCGCAGGGTCGTGTCGCCTTTAATAAAAAGAAGTCACTTCTATGCTCGCGAACGGTTAATTTAGAAATTCGAAAAAGGTTGTTAAAGGTGTATGTT